GTTGGAGAAACAAGTGAGACTAAATATTATAAAGCTTAATTGGTCCCGATGTTAATATAACCCTTAGATATAACATTGGAAATTTAAATTATGAAGATGCTGCTGGAATATGTGAGGATCAAGATGCAGTCTTTATATTTTTTTGTTATTATAATTATAATATGTATCGACTTTAATCTTATTAGCAGACGTAGTAGTTACTACCAGTAGCTAGATGCATATAGACTAGTATTGATCGGGGATAATGTTATAGCATTTGGAACTCGGGATATTAAGCGGTCCTAAAAGTCTCAATAAATTGGCAGTTCAAAGAAAGATTTTTATTTTACTTGCATTATATTTTACTTTCTAATGATAATATATTAATGGAACATTTATTAAAATAAATAAATAATAAACTTGTTAGGGATCCAGAACCTTTATTTTTAGGACTGGCCCCAACTTAACGGTCCCATGAAAATTATCGATCTCAAAATTCATTTTACTTATAAAAGTTATTCATAAAATTTATTATAACAACCTTTTAACAAGAGTAGATAAGCGATTAGACTTTTTCTAACTAGAAATTTCTAAATTTGTCCGTTTAACATCCCTAGTTATTGGGTCATGAAAAATGGCGTAAAGACGGGTGGTAAAGATGCAATTTGTTTCCTTTACTATTGCAAGAGGAGACGTAACATATAAATTGAAACAATTCATATTAGTTTTGGAAGACAACTTCAATGAAAAATGACTGACTGAACCACCTTCATCATCATCATTAGCACCACCCCACTGACGACCATATTTACTATCATTACTACCATCGATTTATCACCATCAACACCTTACATATTACCAGAACAATCATCACAAGCTTCCTTGTCATTATCTGATGATCTTTTATTTTTCTTTTTTATTTGGAAAGAGGCGGTATTTTATAACTTAACACACTTGAAGTAAAAAAAAAAAAAAAAAAAAATTTGAATGTTAAAAATTTAAATTTTAAATATTATACTAGTAAAAGTTATCTAATAATAATTAAAATTTATTATTTTCATCGATATGTTAAAAGATTATGTATCGCGTAATGTTTTAGTTGAAAAAACTCCTGTAAGTTATAACGCGACGTAAGACAAATTTTTGAATCACAATTCGCATG